AGGCGCCTTCAGGACGAGGTTTCCATGGGAGACGCGGGAGTTTGGAAGGGCTGCCCCAAAGAAGTACCACACCCTGGGGATTTGAAGCAACATACTTTATTCTCTCTCCGCTCGGAGGCCGGAGTCTGAAATCAAGGCGCCGGCCGTGCCACGGGGCCTCCAAAAGCTCTAGAGGAGGATCCTTCCCTGCCAGTCTTCCTTGCTGCTCCCGCACCTGCAGACACACCACCCCAGGCTCTACCTGCATCCTCGCACGGCCCTCCTTCCTGCGTCTACACCCAACTTTCCTCTTCCTGTGAGGACGTCAGTCATTGGTTTAGGGCCCACCCTAATCCAGCAGGACCGCCTTAAACTTGGTTGCTTCTGCAAAGACCTTATTTCCAGATAAGGTCACATTCGCAGGTCCAGAGGGACATGAATTTTGGGGGCACACTATGGGGCTCAGAACAGAGGCCCAGCTCAAATGCTGCCTCTTCCACGCAGCCATTCCTGTCCACCAGGACAACCTCCTGTCCTCTGAGCCCCAGCAGGGCATGTGGGCCGCTGGATGGGGTCAGCACGACACTGCACAGGAGTGTACTGTTTTCTCCTACATCTCCCTCTCAGCACCAGCTGAGGCCTCACCTCCTCTGGGAAGCTGGGCCTGTGCCCCCAGACCCTGTCCTGCCCTCATCCTAGGTGGGATGAGTGGGTGGTTCAAGCCCCAGGTTGACGCTCAAACCGCAGCAGGATTTTTTACCCTCTTATCAAGTCACCTTTGCTGATGCCTAGACTCAGAATACTCAGAGAGGAGTTTGGGTTTTATAGGATGAGCCCATGGAAAGAAGTCTCCAATTTCTGTTGTGCAGCATGTTCCATAAAATGAATCTCTAGAAGGCTGCTTTTATGCAAGCTGCTTGGTGAAAGGGCTACAGCTTAAACAACTTAAGGCAGCAGACAATGAATGTGACAGTCCGTGTGTGTAATTCTTGAAGAGGGTGGGTTCCCACCAGCCTGCAATATCAAAGCAATGTTCAAGATTGTTTCAATTCAGTGCTTGTAAAGAATAGGGATGATCTGGGCAGGGGAATGGGTTTCTGCTTAGGCGTTTCCTATACATGACAGTTAGGGCAAGCAGCAAAAGGGAAATTGGTGTAGGGAAATGTGCTTCTGAGATTAAAATGAATGCCTTAGACTATGAACCAAAAGTGGAGTGTGACAAAAAGGAAAAAGTTCCATCAGTGCATTATGCCAAATTTGGAAAATAGAGGGGGGTGGGCAGGAAAATGACCAACCTAATCTAGCCAGTAAGGAGGCCTTGGGGAACCCTCTGCTTCTTGTCATAAAAAAAAAAAAAGTGTGTACTCATAGTATATAGCCATATAAAATTATGATTACACTGAATGGCAGTCCTTAACACTATACTATCTGTACCTAATGGTGACATTCCACAGTCTTTGCTAAACCATCCTAAGTAGCTGTAAAACATTCGTTCCACTGGGGCAAATGTGGCCCTTAAGTGACATCTGTTGAAGGGACTTGGCAGCTTTGGGCTTTAAAAATGGTACTCAAGTGTAGGTTTAAAACTTTGCCCACAGTTTTGATTATTTCTTCAGGATGGATCTCTAGAAGTGGAATTTCTGAGTCAGAGGAAAGAATGATTTTTAAGTTTCTTGATCAAAGATTTCAAACTGGTGGCCAATTTGGCCCTTAGCTGAGTTAGACTTGGCCCATGCAGTTTTTTAACGCATGCCAACATTTAAAATGAAGACGACTTTCCATTAGAATTCAGATTTCTAGCTTATCCTGGAAAATCAAAGCTGTCCAATCAGTGTAACACACACATTAATAGAATGAAGGAAAAAAGCCACATGATCATCTCAATTGACACAGAAAAGGCAATTGACAAGAGCCAACACCCCTTATGATAAAATTCTCCCCAAACAGGTAATAGAGGAAGCCTCCCCAATGTGATAAAGGACATTTATGAAAAGCCCACAGCTGACATCATACTCAGTGGTAAAAGATGGAAAAATGGAAACAAGACAAGGATGCCTGCTTTCCCTCTGCTATTCAACACAGTGCTGGGGTTCTAGCCAGAGCAATTAGGCAGGAAAAAAAAACAACATCCAAATTGGAAAGGACAAAGTCAGACTATCTCTAGTCACAGAGGACATGACCTTGTGTCTAGAAAATTCAAAGATAATTTTAATTATCTGAGTAAGTGCTAGTGCTAACAAACGAGTCCAGTGAAGTTGGCAGGCACAGGATCAACACACAAAGATCGGTTGTATTTCTATGCACTAGCAATGAACAAGCCAAAAAGGAAATTAATAAAATCATTCCACTTACCATGGTATCCAAAAGAATAAAATATTTGGGAATAAATTAAGCCAAGGAAGCTAGACATGTGCACTGAACACTGCAAAATATTGCTCAAAGAAATGAGAGGAGACCTGACTTCATGGAAAGACATCTTGTTCGCGGACGGGAAGATTTACTATACTGCCAAGACACACCACCACCCAAGGCAATACATAGATTCAATGCAGCTCTTATTAAAGTCCCAATGCCTTTTTCTGGTAGAAAATGGATCAAAGACCTAAATGTAATAGTAGAAACAAGGAAACTCTTGGAAGAATACCAAGGGTTCCCAGCAGCCTTAGCAGGTGAGTAAGGAAGGTGGCAAGTGCAGGAAACTCAGGATACTTTGGGGACCTCGAGAAGAGAGGACTTGGCCCATATCTATAGGTACTGCAGGAGAAACCTGACGGCAAGTCCCTGGATTGGCTTTCCCAACCTCAAGAGGCCTTTGAGAGTTCAGTCTTAAATTCCTTAGGAAAAGTTCCAGCCAAGCACTTTAAAAGTGCCTGTGTGATCAATGGTTGTTCTTGCTGTACTTACGTAAATAATCAGGCCAAGTGTTACAAATAGTCTTAATACAGTTACCGCTCATAAAAATGAGGGTGATTTTAGAGAGAAAAGAATTATGTTTCAATGGTGCAGCCTTATTGATACTAGATTCTAGTGCTGTTCATTGTGAAATGGACTGGATCCTGAATTCGGGTTTCTTTAAAATATCTGGCTATAACCCTCCATATGTTTCAATTTTCTCCCATCATATCAACTGGGAGCTGACTATTCCTCGTCCTCATATGTTAAGTGACATATTCAGTCCATGCGTTCTTAGTTTCCTTGTCAAGTCTGTTTCCTCCAGAACAGAAAATCCCACTCCAGGTGTTGCTCAAAGATTTCAACCCACCCCTCACGCTGATGAAGACACCCACCAACAACCCCACACCGTTGTGGCCTCCTCCTCTTATGCAACCTTGTCCATGTTGGCCACTGAGGAGACAGCCCCATGCCTCTCTCCCTGACAGACAGTAAGGAACTGTGGGGCCCACAGGCAGGAACAATGCCCCCCTCAGCAGGAAGCAGCCACAAAGTGACTGACACCCACTTTCCTTTGAAAGATTTTAAGGGACCATAGTCCTAGAAGGGGGATGTTATAGTAGGTGGGCAGCCAGACATGGGCAGGGAGGGGGTTGCAACTTTGGCAATTCAGTCAGATGCTTGTTTATATTCTAAACATTCAGTGTAAAGTGTTTTCATGGAATGTGTGGAGGGAGGGGACAGGTATCAGACCTGCCACACTGGCTGGTTCCAATGGGAAAGAACCTCCAAATGCATTATATGCCCAGTAGCAAACTACAATAACACCCTTGGCATATGACCATTCCAAGGAAGACTATCTAAGGAAAAAAGAGGGTGTCACTCTGTTCCCCAGAATCCCCTTCCTATTCTGAGGAAACCCCACCTCACCCAATCAATCTTAAACTCCAGCTGTAAGACCACCCAACTCAAACCCCACCATGTCACTTGCCTCTGGAGCCTGTCCACACTCTGTCCTTGAGTGTTTACTTTGCTTTATTAAACTATTCTTCCCTTGTAAAAAAACTGTGTGGTCTATCCACATGCTGGATATTATTCAGCCATAAAAGGGAATGGAGTGTGGATACACGCAACAGTGTGGATAAACCCTAAAACCTTGTGCTAAGGAAAGAAGCCAGACACAAAAGATCATATACTGTATGATTCCATTTTTGTGAAATATCCAGACAGGTGATAGAGACAGAAGGTAGATGAGCAGTACCAGGGGCTGGGGGAGCAGGGAGTGGGAGCAGCTGCTCATGGGCACAGGGTCTCCTTTGGAGGTGATGAAAATGCTCTAGAACTGGATGGTAATGATGGTCACACAGCATCGTGAGTGCATTAAAGGCTGCTGAATCGTTAAAATGGTGAATTTTATGTTTATGACTTTAACCTCAATGAAAGTTTTTTTAAAAATCATAACTGTCCTTGATTTAAAGGGGCTTATTCTATTACATCATCAGCCTGGTTGCTGGGCATTCTGTGTTTTGAGACCCCTGCCCTTGATTCATATTACCAGTCTTCCTGGGGAAGTTTAATTCATTGACACCACCACTCTAGATCTAGGAGAGACCCAACCTGGTCAGCCTGGGGGCCAACTCTCCCTGAAGATGAGGAGGAAATTGAGGTGCAGCGATGTTAAGTGACTTGCTCAAGGACACACAGCCAGTTGGACCAGAATCTGGACTAGAGCCCAGTTCTTCTACTTCTGAGCTCTGTGAGCTGTCTGCCATGCCACATTGCTCTCCTACAGCCTGGAAGGCCAAGCACGGGGCTGGCAGGCCCACCCGAGGGGCTCTCAACTCTCAGAAACTGACCAAAGCCCTGTCTGAGGCTCTTGGATGCAGTCCCCAGCCAGGTGAGAGATGAGGACCGTTCAGCCTTTGTGAGCTGATGTTGCATACCTTTGCCATGGGGCCATCTTCCTCCAACACCCTGTGGAGTGGGATCCACCAAGGGCTTCTGCTTAGAAAACCACAGCAAGTGTTGCTCATAGTGTTTTCCGAAACTTGAGCATGTGCAAGCTCTTCTCCTTGCAAACAAGTATCTTTGCATCTTCCACAGCACTTAGAAATCACTTACACCATAGATGCCCAAAATACGTTTATTTCCATTTTAGATCTTCTTGTTGTTCCCTGGATGGATAAAAAGCAGTAACCAATATATTGGTTTAACCAAACTGAGAGCTGTCAGCCATTCACTCACCCAACACTTACCACACATGCAGTACACCGCGCTCTGTGGGTGAGCGCCGAGAGGGAACGGGGTCGCTCCGCATTCGTCAGGCCCAAGTAGGATACAGAAACCAAACCGTCACTGGAACAGACATGTCTAATAGGAAGAATTATTAACACAGGATTCACTAAAGAGCAACAAAGGCAATTCTAAATTATCTTTACTTACAGGGTAGCAGAATAAGAGGTAGCCGTTACTCCCAGGGCAGGGATGGAGCCCGGAGCCCCCACCACCCTGCCCACTGGCGCCAGGGCTGAGACCAGGCTTGGGCAGGACGCGGATGTGGCACATTGCAGGGCAAAGGAGTCCGTGAGTCCCTGCGCTTCAGGACTTGCTGGAAATCCGCTCTCCTGCTTGGTAAGAGGAGCTGCCCACAGCGGGCGCCACACCTCGGTCCTTGAGGAAAAGCCACGGGCGGGGTGTCCGGGGGGTTGCAGAAAGGGAGTGCGCGCGCGCTGTACCTGCAGGAGGGCCGCCAGGGAAGGTCTTCCCGGCAAGGCGGAGTCTGAGCAGACCAGGAAGAAGGGAGGCAGGACCGTGCAGGTGCGGGAGGAGGAGCCTTCTGAGCAGAGCAAAGGGAGATGGAGAAGGCCCCGAGGCAGAAGCCTTGTGATTCACTCAAGGACTCGCAGGCAGCCCCGGGCGGGGGGGCGTGGCAAGGGAGGGAGGAGATCCGTTCAGAGGGCCGTGAGGGCCGAGGACAGACGGCCCTGAGGCCGCACAGGGGCGTTGGCTTTTGTTCTGAGAAATGCATACGTATTTCAAAACAATAAATTCACCGGTGTGTGTAAGAAACTATGGGGCTTTCGAAGAAGGAGCGATACTCCTGGCTTGGGGCGGGGCTGATGAGAGACCCCGGAAGCGGGAGAAGGAGCGGGGACAGCCAGGAGGAGGCGCACAGCGTTCGGGGAGGCAAAGGCAGTGCCCCTCCGCCGGGAGCCGGCGCGGCCTGTGACCACAGCGGGCCGCTGGCGCCCGGCGCGGCCACAGCGGGCTGGCGTTCAGAGGTGAGGTGGGGAATGGCCTGCGCCTAGAATGGAACCCTGTGGTTTCTGAGCACCTGGTGTGCCTGCCTCCTGGGCAAGGGAAACTGGAGCTTTTATTTTACTTAGTTTAAATTAAAATTTAAAAAGACAGGAGACTAGTAGCTGCCCCAGCAGATAACTCAATGTAGGTGCCCGTGTGTGCTGATAAACCGATTCACCCAGTGGCTCCCCCTCCTCTGCGGCAGACGGAGAAGGCCTGTGGGTGCTTTGCCTTGCTGACCTCCTGCCCGTCAGCTTAAGGTCAGCTCATCACCACAGTCCTGGGTAGTTGGCAGATCTTTCCGTTCTGCTAAAATGATTATTTTCTGTTTGCACATGAATCTTGTTTTCTGCGTGCCCAGCTAGTCATCTGGCCTCAAACATCTGCTCCTCTTGGAAAAGAGTGAGAAGGAGCAGAACAAAAGGAAACCTGCTTGGGCACAGTAGATGGCTTCGTCTGGCATTAGCACCTCCGTTTTCTACCAGGAGCCAAGAATATTCCAGTTGCTAATTTAAACTCAGGTTGTGAAGCTCTCTCTCTCCTCTTTGGGTACTTCTGTAATTTCAGTTTTCAGAAACAAACCCATCTGTATGCAAAGCTTGTAGAATGGTTGTGGTCTCCACTATGTTCCTTGTAGAACAGATGCCTCTTGCCTGTGGTTTGCAGTGTCTCAGTCGTCCCTGTGGGACTCGTGTAGTTCTGAAGGAAGCTGGCATGAAGTCTCACTTGGAGGGGGTTGGATGTGGAGCACTTAGAGAGCACCTAGTGTACACAGGCCTCCTCTACAGCAGCATACTGATATCTGGGGCCAGGTAATCCTTCGTGGGGGGCTGCCCTGTGCACTCCATCTTGTTTGCCAGCACCGCTGGCCTCCACCCACCAGATGCCCTAAGCAACCCCACTCCCCATCCCAAACTCACACCACCTTTGAGACAACCAAAAATGTCTCCAGATGTTGCCACATGTCCCCAGGAGAGACAGAATTGCTTTGGTTGAGAACCTCGGGTGTAGATATAACCTGGTTGAGAAGAGGAGAAGGGTGTCTAAGACCTCCAAAGTCACCCCTCCTGAAGATGAAAGTGCAGAGACTCTGAACCCCCAGCCAGTGAGCGCTTCACTGAAGGTGTTTCCAGTGAATTTCTAGGCCTGGATCAGGAAGGCTAAGTGAGAGACTCATGCCAGCTAGCATTCTTCATTTATTGTTCCTTACCATTTACTGTTCTGAGCATCAGGTACTGGGGATGTGATAAATAAACAGATAAAGTTATTAATTAATTCAACATATATACACATAGTATGTATATTTATAATATATATTAATTTATATTATATAATGTTAATTATATTTATTAATTCATTCAACATATTGTATAGAATATTACATATGTTCAATAAAATGTGTTAATGTTCTATACTATATATGTATCATATATACTATATATTGTATATTTACATGTATAGTATGCAATATATATATATATATATATATAGTTCTGCTTCTCTGGGGAACTCTGAAGATATATATGATATATATGTATATCCTATATTCACTTACATGTCCTATTCATATGGAAATGCAAAGAACCTAGAATGTCCAAAACAAGTTTGAAAAAGAGCAAAGCTAAGAGCTGGTTTAAAGCTGGTGTTAAAACTACAGTAATCAAGAGAATGTGGTATTAATGGAAAGATATATAATGGAACAGTGTTCAACATAACAGAATAGAGTCTAGAAATAGAACCACATATCAGGATGAGTGATTTTCAACAAAGATGCAAAGGTAATTCATTGAAGAAAGGATAGTCTTTCCACAAATGGTACTAGAACTATTTAAAATCTATATGCAAAAAATGAATTTGGATCCATCTACAAAACTTAATATAAAATATAGCTATTACACTACATACAAAAATTTACCCCAAGGGGATCATGTGAAACCTAATATAAAACCTAAAAGTATAAAACTTCTAGAAGAAAATACATGAGAAAACCCTGGTTGGGCAAAGATTTCTTAGGTATGATGCCAAAAGCATAATCCATGAAAGGAAAAACTGATATATTACTTCATATTAAACACTTCTGCTTTTCAATAGATACTGTTAAGAGAATGGAAAGACAAGCCACAGCCTGGAGGAAAAGATTTGCAAATGACGTATCTGATAAAGGACTAGTATGAGAATATGTAAAGAACTCTCAAAAACACAATAATAAGAAAACAATCCAATTTTTAAAAACAGGAACAAGATTTGAACAAATACTTCATCAAAGAAGGCATATGCATGGCCAATAAACATGGGAAAATATGCTCAACATCATTAGTCATTAAAGAAGTGAAAATTAAAACTGAATGAGATACCATTACATCCCTATTAGATTGGCTAAAATTAAAAAGACTGACCATAACAAGTATTGATGAGGATGTGGAGAAACTGGAATGCTCATACCCTGCTGGTCAGAGTATAAACAGTCTGAACATTTTGGAAAATAATTTGGTAGGTTCTTGAAATTTTAAACATACACCTACATTATGATTAGCAATTCTGCTCCTAGATGTAAGGGAAATGAAAGAATATATCCATACACATATGCACATGAATGTTTACAGCAGCTTCATTGGTAATCATCAAAAACTGGAAACATCTGGGATATCTGTGAACAGGCCAGTGGATGACCCATACGATGGAATATGGATCTCAGCAATAAAAAGGGATAAGTGTGTCCAGGAAGGAATGTGTCCCGGAGAGCCCTGTGGCCAGAGTCTCTGAGGAGGAGCAGTCAAGCCTTCCCATGGCTCCCGTCTCACTCAGGGAAAACCTACTTTCTCACGATGACAGAAAGGCCCTCTGCATGTGGATGCTGTTCGCTCAGCAGCCTCCCCACCTTGCACTCCCCACCTCTGTCTCCCCTCAAACGTGCCGAGAGTTCCCTCTGTTCCCTCTGCCTAGAGTGCTCATCCACAGAGACCATGAGGCTCCCTTACAGCTCCTTCAGGTCTTTATTCAAACGTCACTTTGTCGTAACGTGCCCTTTACTTCAGATGGCAGACTGAATACTGACCAAAGACATCCAGGCGCTAATCCCTGAGCCTGCGATCAGTCCCTGTGTGACAAGGACTCCGCAGCTGTGACTTGAGTCTAGGCCCGGGAGCTGGGGAGGGGATGCAGACTCTCGAGGTGGCCCCTAGCCGCAATCCCCAGTGTGCCCACGAGAGGGAGGCAGAGGGAGACCTGGCCGGAGCAGGTCACGTGACGCCCTGCGTGGCGGCACGGCTCCGAGGACGGAGGGAGGCGCCACGAGCCACGGGAGGCAAGCCCACCGCTCAGCGAGCAGAAAGAGGCGAGGAACAGGTCCTCCCCTGTGGGCTCCGGGAGGAGCCAGCCCCGCGGATGCCTTGACTTCAGCCCAGGGGGACTGGTTTGGGCCTGCTGGCCTCCCAAATCATGAGGGAATAAATGTGTGTTGTTTTAAGCCACCAGAGTGGGGTTACTTAAACGCAGCAGCTGTGGGAAACAGACGCACTATCCCCCGTAACCTTGCAGCCCCTGCACCCGGAACCCCTGTCTTCCTGCCGCACTTCTTTCTCCCCATTGGCCCTTAGCAGCAGCGGACACGCTCGCTTTAACTGATTTGTTGCGTGTCCCTTCTAAGTGGTCCAAAGTCTCAGAGGGTAAGACTTTGACTTACCTGTGCTGTATACCCACCACCCAGTACAGAGTAGGGCTCAATGTTGAAATTCAGCGGTTGAACAAACATAAAAGATTTCAATATTCAGAATAGCACAAGAAATAATTTAACAAACACCCAAATGGTCCTTGTTTAAGGCTGGCTGGATTTGCTCCATGCTGGGTTTTTTTGAGATCCAAAGTATTGCACGTGAAGTGGCTGTGTCCCTTTTGAGCAAGTCCAGTAGCGCACTCCCACGAGGTGACCGTTCCTGTGAGTTTGTGTTTCCGGTCCATTTGTTGTATTTGAAGATGTGTGCAGTGTAAGTGAATTACACCTACTGCTGTTTGGAGCCTGTGTTTAAAATTCACCCAAATGGAGCCACAGTGTAACCTGCCTTCCCTCCTCATTTAAAAAAAGTTTTTGAGAGCCCCACGGCAGAGATATAACAGATACAGCCTTTTCTTTTTCTGCTGTACAACATTCCATGACACGACACTTCAGTGTCCTTGTGGTCCTCCATTTCCCTGCTGATGCGTCTGGCAGGGTCTGGGCAGCACAACGTGGAGCTGGGTGAAGGCGCGCTCGGCCAGCGTGGGCAGGGCTGAGGAGGGCGCCACTCTCGGTTTTTCCGTTCTCGGCTTCAAGGGGCAGCCAACGACCTTGTTCTTGAGCCCATGCGACTCCTCCAAAGTCCCCTGCGGGGCCTGCCTGGGCCAGGTTATTCTCAGAGCCCGCAATACCTCCGAATCTAGTTTCCCCTAAGCAGGGAGGGGTTGCCTGTTTGATCTGCGAGCAAATGGACCTTGTAAAGGAATTTACCCTGAGTCACCTAGTCCTGGAAAACCACTCAACAGGACTCCCCACGGGGCTTTCTTTACACAGGGAGGTGCCCTGTGGTTTGTCCGCAAGACCCTATTGAACAAACTGCAATTCACAGAGCGAGGTAGGACAGGGAGTCCTGGGCGCAGCCTCAGCCCTTCCCGTGTTAGCTGTGACTCGGGACCTCTGCCTCCTCAGCGTCAGCTACAGTGCGGCGGAACCGCCTTCCTGCCCCCAGACAGACCCCCCAAGGGGCGGGGGGCGGGTGTCTGGCGGGTCACTGCAGACGCAGTTCTTTTCTGCACAAAGAACAAGAGTGCCCGCCTTTCTCTCACTTCCTTTTTGGGGCCTGGGAGGATTGGCCTGTGAGTGGCCAGCTGCTATTTATGGGCCTGGGCCGCTCTCTGTGAAACCACAGTCCCCCCAAGAGGAAGGAGTGGAGGAAGGGTGGGAGGCGCCAGGTGACCTTGCCTTTGGTCTGGGGTGCAACCAGCCAGG